CGTGGTGTAATGACTTGTGCAACTCAATGACCCTGCGAGCTATACAGGATGGCTCCTCAGCCGCAGATCCAATCATGCCTGAAAGGCCAAGGGGTAGAGGCCAAACAAAACTCAGTCTCACAAGGCCAGCTGCTTGGGCATCTCCTGGCGTCCTCTTCTATTGACACCCGCCCCTGGAGAGGCCACTTCGGTGAATAAACACGGGGTGGGGTCCCCTCTCGACAGTAGGAGGAGTCTTCGCACTTCATCGGACAGCTACCGACAGCCGAATCAGGGCAGCCCCCAACCAATAAGGTGATGCCCCGTTCATATTTCGTTGTCTCATTGGGTGCATGAGGTTAAGGGCCGATCCCGAAAAGCGGACCGATAATGAACGCACCAGCGAACAACACAATTAATCGAAATTCAAAGGCCTTGCGTGACAGGATACCACTGTGTTCAACTAATGAGGCCAACCACTCAGAGGCTATCAGACTTTTGAAATCAAAATTTCCTTTACACTTTGCCGTATTTAATGTCCACACACTATCAGATTGATCAACAAGCCGTCTTAGCTAGAACCCTTGAAACCTTCCATTTAGATGTATGCTGTGTCTCCGAAACACGCATACAAGACCCTAATTCAATCATCTCCTTACGCTCTCCAGATCCAACCTCATCCTCACTCTTCACTCTCCGTGTGTCAGGCGATTGGATATCCGAAGCTCGCGGTGTTTCTGGTGTTGGGATTGCGCTAAGGGCCAAGGCTGAGCGCTTGCCTCTTGGCTGGCTTCCAGTTAGTAGCCGACTGTGCGCTGTGCGTCTCAACGGTTCAGGTTCGGTTCGGGTCAATAGCTGCAGAACGAAGCGTCGATGCTTGTTCGTCGTCTCAGTGTATGCACCGACAGATTGCAGTTCGCCAGAAGTGAAGGATGAATTCTACAAGGACCTCTCTCAACTGCTCCGAAGTGCTCGGTCAACGGACATCGTGGTGGTCGCCGGAGAATTCAATGCTCAAGTGGGATCCCTGGACGAATCAGAGGCTACTTGGAGGTTCATATGCAATCCCAGCCAACCGGACGGACAACGGAGAACGCCTACTCCAACTTTGTGCTGACCACGGACAGTTTCTGTCAAGCACGAACTTCTCGCACTAAAAACGCTACCGTCTTACGTGGAGACCACCAACCGCTTCACAGCGCTGGACTCAAATCGACCACATCGCCATCAGCCACCTCTGGCGGGGATCCATTGAAGACTGCCGCTCTTACTGGTCAACAGCTGTGGATACAGACTACGCCTTGTTACGAGCCGAATTCTCCTTACGCCGGGAAAACAACCACAAAAGAGCCACCAATAACGGATACCCACGATACAGTGTCCGTGATGACTTTCAATCGGCCTTCGAAGCGGAGCTTCTCGATCGCCTGTTAGTTCAACCGCGAGTCGAAGGATTCAATGAAGGTTGAATACAAATTAAGGAAGCTATGCAAATATCAATAAACACAATGCCGGACTCTGGCGCAAACTCCAAACACAAATGATGGATATTGTCGACCTCGATTGCCCTGCTGGACGCCCGCAGAACCGTCCCTCAGGATGCCGCTTTCGACAAAGCGCGCAAATCCCGCAAACACCAGCTCATCAAGAGTCTCAGGAATGACCGCGATAAGTGGTGAATAGGAAAATGCAGAGAGATGGAGAAGACTGCGACTATCGGTAATAGTCGCAATGTTTTCCTTCTTATTAGAAATACGGGTCCCAGGAAAATAGGCGTGAGGTAATTAAAGAATGCAATGACACACTGATTCACGATCAGCAACGGCGTCCGGACCATTGAGCTGAGCAGTTTAAGGCTCTGTTCAAGTGGCCCCCATCGACATCTGATCTTTCACACTCCACCTTGACCTTCCAAATACTGCCAGTTGACATCAGTCCTCCATCTGAAATAGAGGTTACCCGAGAAATAAGTTACTTCAAACGACATAAGGCTTCCGGCCCCGACGGGCTGTCCCCATCCGTTTTTAAGGCTGGAGGCTCAGCCTTGGTTTTGGAGTTAACAAAACTCCGGCGCTCATTGTGGGAAAGGGAAGAAGTTCCAGCTGAATGGTGTGATTCAGTGATCATACCAATTTACAAGCAATGCAACAAGTCCTCCTGTGAAAACCACAGAGGAATTAGTTTAAACTACGTCATCTCTAAGCTTCTCGCCGACATCGTACACCGACGATTGTCCTGCGCACATGAACGATGCACGCGTGAGAACTAGGCTGCTTTTAGATCCCGTCGAGGTTGTATCGACCACATCTTCACTTTCTGCCAAATTCTGGAGCATTCGCATTCTTTTCGTAGACCCACCACCAGGGTCATTGAGTTGCACAAGCCATCACACCACGCCAAGGTGCAGTCTCGTCATGATGGGTTAAGTTGCACAGCCTATATTGGATTTATCTCGCCATGTGCAGGGCTATCTGTCCCCCTTTTTACAATTCCCGTTATTCACCACAACCACTGTTTTATGTTTGTTTGACGGAGTACAATTTTTCCGTTATTTTTTGTACATGAATGATTGAAGCTGTTTTTGAATCGGTCACGCACCCTAATTCTGTGCAATTTCGTATTCTTCTAAAGGTTTGGGATAAATAGACGGAAGCAATTAATTGCAACTCCTAGTCATTCAAAATTGAGTGATCTTTTGGTGTTCAAGTGGCCTCCCAAGCCACTCGGTAAATTCCTTTTGGTTGTCGGAATTGTTTAGATAGGGTTGAATTTTTCGCAATAAGTAACACCTGACGTTTCGCCCAACTATCATGAATTCCGCTGTCCAATAGGTATTCATTCATTCACTTTTCTCGATCTGTCTTCGTATATTTTTGGTGACGAATAATATAATGCTGATGGAATCCGATTATTTTGCATCCTGTTTCTTTATGGCGTAATTGATGCGTCCTACTAATTTTTGGTCGCGGTTTCTTTAGTCTCAACTTCAAATTGATTTACGAAGCATCCGATTATTTCTGATGACTACCCGTTTTTGATAAAATAATCGAATGAAATGAAGCATAAATTTGTCAAGGAAACATCCAAATCATTCACAAATAATCCTAAATGATTTTAGTACAGGTATGTTTTTGTCATTTGTTTTGTACTTCCAAAGTGCAATTAGTGTTTCAGAATTGAGTTAGTCCTGTGACACAATAACAGTAAACTGCTTAGGCAGCTACATCTTGCCTGAGGGGAGGAATCTCATGTGAAGTTTTGACACACACAACAAACTCAATTGACGTTGAATACCCTTGGTGCCACTCTGTTGTCTGAACTATCGAGTTTATACTGCGACAGTTCGGTTGATGCTACGAAGTGGTGATAAAAGCAAACCAACGGTATCGAGCACCGCTACACATTGTTGATTTTGAATAGGGACCGCAGTCGAACAATGTTGCACTATTCCGTTGTATCTCCTGAGGTACATACCACAATCGAGAGATACGCTAATTGATCAAATGAACATGCCATTCGCTAAACATTATCGGCGTATAATGTTTGGTGAGATGGATTGATTGAAATAAAAACAGCGGTGATCATATCATTACGATGAATGAGGTTCCCTCAGATTTTCCGGTCAGAGACCCCATATAAGAAATCTAATTTACAGCTGTAAGTACCGGTTTATACGGTAGAAATATTCCTGTTTAATGGCGCGCGTTCAGCAACCGATCTTTTGCACACATCTAGGTCACTTATATTTTGGATCCTTATTTTGGTAGCTTTACCGATATCGCTTATTTCCCTTTTTTCCTTGATCGTTGTTTGATGATATGAGGAAAACAACAAAGACGGGCACAAAATGCAGAGGAATGGTTCTGTGAACTCATCTAAGCTGAACTTTCTCATGGCGGAAACATGGACTTTATGTAGTGTCAGATCAGCACTACAGTGCGTCTAAATTTAAGGGAGATGAATGAATTTCATCTAGCTGTTTTAATTCATGGGCTATACTCCATAGACAACGCAGCAAAAACCGTTCCCGATGACATTTCTTTTGGATACATCGCATCAGGTGGTTGCAATACCACTAATATTAGTACCAGACAGCACTAATACTAATATCTAATTGGCGACGACATCTCGGTCTGTAGCGATGACAGAAGCGAGCAAGCGAATGTGGCATGGCTTGTTTTGGCCAATGCTAGAGTCATTCAGGGGTGAGAAGACAATGATCAAAGGACGTTCCGACAAAGAGATGGAATGGACTGTCATCAGTTAATCACATATTAGTACCATTATCGTCTTATATGTACTTGCTTTATGTGACACTTATCAAAATAATTTTCTTCGCGATTATCTTTTTCGTGCAGATAGGCTGATTCTCCCAGACAACCTTTGTATAACAGCGCCCACCTTCCTGAAAGTTGGATGTACGTTACTATGCTTAACAAATAAAAAGAGAGTTTACAACGTATTTTTATAGTGAGTAGTATACGAATGACTGGACGAAATTTCCCGGAGACACACGAAAGGTTTCACGGTCCTTGTATGTTGTGGTTGAACTATGGATGATCTTTAGTGAAGACCGTATGAATGCGTTGTGTTCTTAAAACGACCCCTAAGCAATTGCGGTGATGCTTTAGGCGATAAAGTATCGACCGCGAGACTGTTTTGCACTATACCTGTACCTGTATTCAGCTCAGATTTCATTGGTTGTCACAAAATAGTCTCATTTTTGCTTGATTTTGTTTTTGGTAGAGGCGATTGGAAGATCGGGCCCAAGAGTAGTCTTTGAATGCAACCATTCGAACTAGTATTTCCGCTGAATCCGTTCCGTGGGTCAGTCAGTTGTCTGGGTTACAGATATGTTCCCAACGTTTTAGCAAAATCGGTCACATGAACAACTAAATATCTTGGGTACCACATCTTGGGTACCCACATTCGGTATAATTAGTTACATCTGCTGATGGATTATATCCTGTGTTCTCAAGTGATAGACATTCTGTCGGGATTGCCCTAATCTAAATTAATTTTTCTCTCCTAGTTGCTCTCGACTGATTGCGGAGGATGATTTCTTTGCTGATCTTGTTCCTTATTTGGGGCTCACAGTGTTTCTTTTGACACTAAATGTGTATTTATTTTCATTAATATTTTATTATTCGAATCTTGTCACGGTAAATATTTTTCTTTCTTCTCAGGCAGCCCAAAATGCGTATACCTTTACCTAAAATGGATAGAAATGAAGGTTGCGTAAATAAATCTACCTTGCTGTTTATTGGATTCTGTTTCGAAAAATACGTTTTTTGTTGTATTATCATTCAATGGAATGAGTGCGTGGAATAGACAGTTCTCCCTATATTGCTCTAAAAAATCATACCATTAGCATTTATCCACTACTTAACTTGGTTGTAGGTTCTTCTGATCTGGTTGTCATTCATGGGGATTCCATTCTCACGACGCAATTCCTCTGTTTCGAATTTTCACCCTCCCTCGTCCCTCCTCACGCATAGGCACCGCAAATGAACCCGAAGACAATGATATTTAAACGTGTGGACGATGTTCTAGGCCTGGTTCTACGGGTGGATGAATGTCAAGACTCGGGACAATCGTTCGCTAGGATTGGGGCCAGATGCAATTGCGGACGGATTCTTATTGCCGAATTGCCGGACTGCTTTTCCGCCTAGTACGTCAGGAATACTTCATCGTCCAATTTCCTTCGCTTTTTGGATTATTTGTATGATCTTTTCTATGATGTATATACAACTTATTGTACAGAACACATTTTACGCAACTATTTCTCTCTGTTCAACTCTTCCTCCTGGTACCACGTGTGACAGCACCCAAATCCCTTAAATGACAGTTATTCAAAGATATAGCAGTGTAAAGAGATGGAGAAATCTTCAAGTATTGTTAATAGTCGCAATCTTTTCTGTCTACTGAGAAGTACGGGCCCTATGAAATTTGCAGAAGTGAGCTAATTAAATAATCCGATGACACTGAAACATCGTCAGCAACACCAGTCTGATCAATGAACCCAACATTTTGGGACTCATTTCACATGGTCCCCATCGACAATTGACCTATCACCGCCCCTGCTCGACTGGGCAAATACTCTCAGTCGAAGACAGTCCTCTATTTCAGACGGACGGGCCGTCCCTATCAGTTTTCAGCGATGGAGGTTCATCGTTAGTCTTAGACTTTAAGAAACTCCAGGAGTCGGTATGGGAGAGCGAACCGGAACTAACTAAATGGTGTGAATCGATCATCTTACCGATTTACAAGAAGGGTAATAGATCCTCCTTTGAAAACCACGGAGGAATTAGTTTAATCAACATTGTTTTCGATGGCATCGTACTCCGTCGATTGTCGACCGCACATGAACAATGCACGCGTGGGAACAAGGCTGGTTGTAAACACAGTCGAGGTTGTATCGATCACATCTTCACTCTTCGCAAAATTCTAGAGCACCGAAATTCCTTTTGTAGATTCACCATGTCTATCTTCCTCGATCTGAAAGCGGCTTTCGACCCAGTCGACCGCTTTAAACTCTGGCGCTACCTCTCTGTGAAGGGTGTTCCGGAGAATTTCATCTCACTATTACAATCCCATTGTACTGATAACCGAACGCGCTTACGTCACTTTTTCACCCGAGTTCACCACGGGAACTGGTGTTCATAAGGGTTGCCCTCTCTGTACGTTTCTACTTATACAGGTGTTAATGAAACTCGTGTAACATCACTCTCATTTTGGAAACACATTTCAGTTTCCAATATCCTACTGGTTAATTGATGGCTATGGGTAGAGTATATTTATTCCTGATTTTATCTCCTACTTCTGTTCTTAGTTCTCTTCGATCGCAGTTTGAATTATCTTGACCTTCAGCGTTGCGATGAAATTTGTAGTAGTTCGAAAGTTACAGCTCATATCTGGAAAATATTTTAAGCGAAGCAGCATGGGAATTCATTCTTTAAAAAAAAGACTCCTGTTCCATGACAGTGTTTATTAAGTTGAGCCGATATATTCTAAATTACTTGTCTCTCTTCATTTAGTGCACAGTAAATAAGCAAATTGATGAAAATGTTCCAACTTAAATAGATTGATGAATTATTTGGCAACAAACTCCTCACGCATTACCTACAATACTGAAAGAACTAGGAATAAGGTCCAAGAAACGCAAGTTGATCTTCGAAAGTGAACCTTGAGGTGTGCGGCTCGTTGAATAAGTGTTTTGTTGTGTCACATTGCCCAAAGCGGATGAAACATTCAAAAGGTTTTGGTGTATAATTGAAGCCTAGAGGCAACTCAATTGAGAGGCTTGTAAATCCGGAGATTCAGTTGGTGTCTTGTGGAAGTGCTTCGATGTGAACATAAGTCCAATTTGTTGAATATTTAACGAACTTTCTCCATCAAGACATAAACCAAGAGGGAGAAAACCGATCATATCCAAGCACGACGATAAATGCATTTGATCGCAGCAGAGAGGAGTTGCACAAAACCAATTTAGAAAATGATGGCTCAATTTAAAGTGCACCCAGAAGAAGAACACCCAACAAAACAGAGCACGTATTGATTTTACCAACAAATTCAAATCGCGTCACCCGTCTATTGGACAATGGGTTTATCTCAGGTGGCCAACGAGTAATTCAGCATATGGTGGAAGCTAATCTACTGAGCTAGTCTTCTAATGAATTTTGCTTTACCTGTCAAAAGAAGTAAATATTCATCCTGCCTGGCGATGTAGGATGGAAGTATATACTGAGTCCCTTGTCATTGGTCTCCTGTACGCACCAAGTTGGGTATCGCAAAATGTTTTGCACTGATAAAGGGAGGTTTTCGGTAACTGCTACTCTTTAAATGCATTCGCGGAAGTTATATTTTTCGCAAATGGAGGTTGGTATATCTTCTCGCTTGAGGTTGGTAGTAAAAGGCGGTTAGACCTAATTAAATGTTATTTTTTACATCTATGCAGTCTTGGGATGAGTCAAGTTTAATTTCGAATTCATTCCAAATCGCGCAGCAGCTGGGATTTTAATTTAATTGAAAATCTTTTCCTCTATTGAAAACGGATAAATCAGCTGCCGCGACATTTTTTCGTCAGTAGTTAGGGTGTCGGGTGTATTAGAGAAAACTGGCAAATTCTGTTTGTCAGTCAACTCCATGCTAAAGCGACTGCCTCCAGTGTTCGAAAATAAAGAAGGGCAAATGGAATATGGACTAGATGAAAGTACAATACCTGTACAAAGTTTATGAGTAGTTTTATTAAATAAATTCTGGTTACGTTTTCTACTGTGATTTTGTTTTTTTCACAACTGATGCACCAGCAGCCATCGTCAAAATCGCAAAGTCGTACATTTTAATGACATGTGGCAAGTGGGTATCATATCAGAGATGTTGCGTCTGATATGGGGCAATATCATATTCAATCTTGGAGAAACGAAGCATTAAGAGGAACAAATGTAATGAAAATCAAGATGTTGCACGAGTTTGGTCAATACCCGTAGATATATCAACTCTAGTAGAAGAAATGCGGAATACCAGCATTGATATCGTCTGGACATGTTTCAACCACTACACTTGAAGCTGCAGAGTTCCCCAAAAAACAGTTCGATCAGGTGTTTATTGCGACGACAAACGAAGCAATACAGATTCCAAGCAAATTATCATGTATACCGTGTCCGTCACTGGCTTTTGAAAGTGAGAAGGTTGGAGCCAAACTACCAACTTTGCGTAAAAATCATCCTCAGGGGCAGAAAACATGGATCCTCGGACTCTGATCTCTCTAGCCAATAACATTTCCAAACCTCTGACTGTCCTTCACCAAAGGATGTTCAACGAGGCAGTAATTCCTCAATCATGAAAGGAAGGGGTGATTTCCTCCATTTACAAAGGGGCTCTCGCAATGATCGCGCCAACCACCGCCCTGTGATCCTTCTTCCGATATTGTCAAACGCCATGGAAGCTATTGTGGTAGATCTGTTGATGGAGTATCTGGAGATGCTTTTGTCTCCAACTCGTCACGGATTTTGGCAAAAGCGTTCGTGTACCACATCTACTTCCAAGAGATGGGTGGGAAAAATCCGTCGATGCAGGCCAGCTATTGGATATAGTTTATTTGGACATCTCCAAAGCATTTGATCGAGTAAACCACCAAAATCTACTGTGAAAACTAAAACTACGGAGTTAGAGGTTTGGTTCTGGACTGGATCAAAGAGTTTCTCCGACAAAGGACTACGTCAGTTGGTGTTGATGGTTCATTATCAGAGCCTATCACCGCTGCCCGAGGGGTTCCTCAAGGATCCGTACTGGGGCCTCGTTTCCTTCTAGCATTTATAAACCACCTGCCACATATCCTTGGGCCTGATACACTGCTATTTGCGGACGACGCTAAGATCTGGAGAACTGTAACGCATCCAGAGGATTACACAGCGCTCCAACAAACGAACAATGCAGCCCACCGATGGTAAATCGCCAGTGACATTGAGTTCTACGTTTCGAAATGCAGAGCTATTTCCATGCGGCACAAGACTCGTTTATCCTATGTTCTTGGGAACCAACTACTACCGCATGCCACTGATGAAAGGGATTCGGGAGTTATGGTACAGGAGGACGTAGGATGTTCCACGCACTGTGCCAGAGCATCATTCATGACCATAAAGCAAGTTGGACTACTCAGACGTGTTTTCGAGCAGTTCGAAAGAGTACTGTTCCCACGCTTGCTATCAGCGTTCGTTTGGCCACACGGAGTACGCCGTTCAAGTATGGAATCCATGGTTGAACCGCGACAAGAAGGCTCTAGAACGTCCGCAAAGACTGGCAACAAAATTGCTAAAAGGTCTTGCGATAATCGGAATAGTACTGAATGTAGGAATACAAGAACCCGTACCGTAATGCTCAGAACTGGATTGGCTCCAACCCGAACTGCGGATACCAATGTAATACACGAGGAATTCATAGCAGCAAATGCTTATGTTTGTTGATAGAATTAGAGCATGTTTTATATAAGGTAATGAGCCATATGATTGGTTGGAGGACCGTCGTCCAATCACGCAACCGTTTGCGCCGACGCATGATATGAACTAACTCGGATGTCATGTTCGTCCGGTGTACCATCGGCCGAGCTTCCTGAACGGTGATTGGATGGTATGAAGCTGTATCTGATCGTGCCTGGATTGGGGTCACGTAAGTGTGGATCACCACAACTCTTTCCCCCTCAAGAGTGCCTCGTCAGTCTGGCTCGCCTGATGGCTAGACTTGCGGACTGCAATCGTTGACTCCTCCTGTTCATGGTGGTGTCCTCGCGTTTCGATTGGTTGTGTCTGCGCATCTTACTGATGCGGCTCCGTCGGGTGTTCTGACGGGGTTTGCACCTGATTGTCTCCCTCGTTTGTCTCTCGATGCGGCATTTCCGTGGATGATTTGAAGTGGATTTGATCCACGTGTCGCCTGTGCACAGTACCATCATTCAAGTTGGTAATTTCCAACGGCTTGACCCAGTTGTCGTGTGACTATATGAGATGTGGGTCGCAAATCATTACTACGGAATTATACGACGTCACTGGAGTCGAGGCACTGTAGGGAGGATCGTAAGCGTCGGGATTTAAAAAGCATTGCCGGGCTCTCCTTGGCGGTTGTACGTGTTGCGTTTCGGTATTGGAGTATGAAGTTATCCACCAACGTTTCCAAA